AGAAGCCATCGAGATAGAAAAACGCCCACACAGCATGAACAAGCGAGATGATACCTCCCGCCTACCAGCCATTTGGAAACCCGCCCTCATTGACAAACGACTCCCTAACACAAAAAATGATACCAGACCCACACTCACAAAACCCACACAGGATGTCACCACCAAACATCCACGCAAAAAACAAACCCAAAGCCACACTGACTATGAGGCACGACCACAAACCAGAAGCCAGACCACAGCTGCATCATTAGCCACTTTAAACCCCCCCAATCCATACATGAAGCAAACTGACACCCTCCATGAAGAGGAAGCACGACCACGAACGCGAAGCCAAGGAATGGCAGGGCAGCCCAAAATCTTGAATCCCTCTGCAACTCAGACTAACCTGAGCACAACCAAACAGAACACTCCCCCAGCCAATCAGAGCACAGCCAACCCCCCAGCCAATCAGAGCACAGCCAACCCCCCAGCCAATCAGAGCACAGCCACGCCCCTAACCAATCAGAACACACCTCCACCCAATCAGAACACAGCCAAGCTCCCACCCAATCAGTTCATACCTCCACTGGCAGTTAAAAGGAAGAAACAGCCAAGACCACACACTGCTGCTCGAGGCACGAAGCTGAAAGCACCAGCCTGAAGATGACGAATGGGACTTCGTCGAAACGTCGCCAAGACACTTCCAATTTTACGTGGGAGAAAACCCGAACAACCAAAGACCTACATACAAATACCCGCGAAAACCTCAGAAAACATATATATATATATATATATATATATATATATATATATATATACATATACACACACACACACACACACACACACATATATATATATATAAAACTTCTGAATTAAATTAAATCTCCATGTTTAGAAACATCAAGATGTTGGAAAGCAATTGTGTGGTAGAATTATAGTCATAATGTCCTTCTCAGATGAATCCAGCAAAGTTCATTTTGGATGCTATATATTTCATACATCATATTCCAATTCAAGCCAAAGGCTTATTTTTCTTTTATGTTTCTCAAAATATTCACAATACATCTGTAGAATTCAGTGCAGTTTATTTCTGAAAATGCCCTCAGAACTGTTTTATTAGTCTTTAATAAATTGTTATACTAACCATGGAAACTGCAGAAATTAAATGAGCATGTAGCAGTTTTGGAGCAAGTATTTCTTCTTTTTCTTGAATTTTTGATGCACTTATAAAATAATTTGTAAAAATTATTTTGAAATTTAATCTTCTTTTTTATATACAAAGGCCAAATCCTGCACCCTGCTTGCATAAATAAAGTGCTATGAAATGTTTCCCCTAAAGTTCTCGTATAACCTCCCCTATCAAGCCTCTATACCAGGAATGTCAAACTCGTGATGTCGCATGATGTTGTGCGATGTATCACAACTTCTTCCCCATTGCCGGCAATGTGGTGGGCACAGTTTCGGTGTGATGCATCTGGCCCGCAGGCCAGCAGTTTGACATGCCTGCCCTATACTCTCTCTCCACTCCTGGTTTACTAGGAATAACCTGCCGACCATAAGTTTAGAGAAAAGCAGTCTGCCAATTCTTAAAGGTAAGATGTTGGAGGACTTCTCTGCAAGTAGATGGCCTTGTTGAGTCATCAAATACAGATAGTCCTTGCTTACTGACTGCTCATTCTGGGACCTTTGGAAGTTATGTTGGTACTGAAATAGAAATTTTATGACTAATCCTCAAACTTGCAGCTGTCACATGTCCCCATGACCATATTATCACAATTCAGGTGCTTGGTAACCAGCACACATTTATTTTATTTTATTTTATTAACAAATTTTATTAATTTTTCCAATTTTAGCAACCAAGTAATTAAGAAGCAGCGTGGTGATAGGGTGATCAATAATCCAATAATAGAATATACATAGATATCTCAATTTACATCAATAAAGTTTCCCTCTCTATTTCCCTTAGGTATTATATCACATTCACATTAGTACATTTCTAGCTAAAGTTCAATCAATCTATACTTTTATCAATAACATTTTAGTTATACATACCAAGTCCTGTTTTTAGGTTTTATTTAATTCCAATTATCATATTCCAATTTAGCCTTTTATAACCGATATTTATAATTCGGATAAATTTAGTTTCCCTCATTTCATTATAAACTAATTCTCGTGACTAAAATACAAATATTATTCCAAAATTTAAATTCTTTCTTTATTCACCAATATATTCTATTTCTCATCCTAATAACTCCTCATATACTAATAACATATCTTTCATTATCACAAATCCATTTCCCTATAACCATTAAAGCTATAATCTAACAGATTATTTTAATTTCCATTATAAATCTGAATCCTAAGTATTAAATAAATCAGTATCTCTAAGATCAGCCAAAATCTCTTAAAGAAAAGCTGCTTAACCCTCAAATGAATTTTTAAATCCCATTTTTAAATCTAACTCTGGCTTTCTTTTTATGCCAGGCAGGTTTCCATACCAGTGCCCTTAAATCCTCCAATGTATCTCCCTTCATTCCCACACATATTGTTTGAATCAAGGGAGAACATCCAGTTATCAATTTTTCAATGAAACTGGCCCCTTTGTAGTTATTAGGTTGTTGCCCTAATAGTTCAAGTCTCCACATTTCATTTAGAATGTTTGTCATCAATTCAGTCTGGTCTTCTTTTTCTTTCTGAGTGAAGCAAAGAGTCATATCCGATGTTGTAGTTGTTGTTTGGTCATCCAAGTTGTCTAAGTTCTCAATATGATATTTCTGTAGATCAGTCCCTGTTGCTTTTGGAATTACAGGTGTTTTAGTTGAGGTCAGTATCTGTTTGTCAAAGTTCTCCGTAAGTTGTATATGCTGTTGAATAGAATCCTCTTCGATGTTAAGTTGTTCCTCTTCTATTGTTTTTTTTTTTTTTTGGCTTGTAAGTTGAACAGTTGGGGTCTGGGGTTCAATCTGTAGTTTTGTGAAAACATCTTCGGCTTTCACTCGAAATTCTATTAGTTCGGTGGCTTCAAGGATTTTTTGAAGTATAAGTTTATAATTAAGTTGTGGGTAGATTCCCTCAGTTTCCATGGTGATTAGCGATAATCTTTTAGTGGAGGCTATGTTTAGTAAAGATCAGCCAATGTCCACCTCCATGCTTTCTAAAGCTATTTTCACCACCCAGCTGTTCCCAAATCTTATCTTTTTTGATGGTATGAAGGGCAAATCAAGAGAGTCAGCAGGCCTCACAATTGAGAAAAAAAAGACAGAGAAGAAAAAAATTTCAATTGCTGTGCCAGTTTTCTCCACAAGATGTCCCCCTTCGACCACAAAATCTTTTCCCAGATGCCAGTTAGTCTTTTATTTGATTAAAAAAGCAAAAAAGAGGATGTTTTGCAAAGTTAATATTTAGAGAAATAATAAGTCTCAATAGTTAAATTTTTAAAATCCCAAAAGTATCCAAAGATCAAAAATCCAGTTATTTAGTTATTAAAATTACTTATTCTTTTCTTTTCTTCAATGTTTAAATCCCCAAGCATTGAAAACGGGGAAGAGGTTTAAAAAGGCTTTCACAGAAAGATAATTAGGGTAACAAAGAGGAAAGGAAGGGTCTGACCCGAATCCTCCACAATGCTTTGTTGTGCTTAGATGTAAACTTGGCTTTCGGCTGGTGCGACTTAATGAGTGGCCACGTTCTAGCGAGGGTCCTCCCCAACGGTGGTCACCCCTCCAGGGTGACCTTCGACCCTTTCCAGGGTCTCCTGAAGAAGGGAAACAGGACAGCGGGGAGAGCAGTCTCTCCACACGTCCGCTGGCACTGCGATCCGGAACCGGAAGCCAACCAGCACACATTTATGACAATTGCAACATCCCATTTGTGACCTTCACAGCCAACTTCTGACAAGCAAAATCAGTGGCAAGAAGTGGCAGCCACATGATCTCATGCTTAACAACTGCAGCTGGAATTGACGTAAGTCAGGTTGAATCATGTGATATTTCACTTTTCATTCATGCCACTTAGCAATGGATTTGACAGTCCATTGATGTCAGTAAGTGAAGATTACCTGTAGTGTTTAAAATATCAGTGAATTATGCATAAACTCAGCCAGCAGAAGAGGAAAAATGATAGTGGAACAATTTTTATACCATGTTCTGCTTGCATAATTTGCAGAATTGTGACTAATTATCTCAGCCCTGAAGGATTAGAAACAACTCATTTAGCATAGTGCTATCCTTTTATGAAGCATTCCAAAAATACATGTAAAAATATAAAATAGCAAATTCTACTGAATCTAGTTGCCTTTAGAGACTTCTGGTTTAAAACTGAGAAAGAAATACTTTTAATGAATAATATAGTATTAACAATTTAAAAATTAATGATGATGATCATGTTTCACAGTAGATATCTCAGAATTTAAATTCATTTCAAAATTTATATGAGAGCTACCTTACAGTTTTAAATTACTATGAGCATAGTTTTGAAATTATTTTGTTTATCACCTTTGTTATAATTATTAAAGTGTTTAGTATTATAATTGAAACAAAACTTTTGTTTATATGTATATTAAAATATTTATGTTATTCAGAAAGGTTATATCTTCACCTCTTGACCATAGATAATGAAACTGTATATAAAGAAACCCTAAAAAAACAAACTACTATATACGTGTCCATAAACCTGTATGCCATTTTGTGTATGTGTAAAATAGCAAACAAAAATAAAGAACTATCTGAAAGCTCTCAACTTCTGATGATGTTAGCTAGTTTGGTAATGAAAAAACTGCAAGAAAACAGTCAAGCTCAGAGAGCACCATGGATTCCATAGTTCAATCCTGAGCTACAAACATTGTTTTCTGTCAGTATACCAAGATCTGCTATATTTTTGGCAATTGCAAATATGTAAATCTATGGAAAATGGAACCACAAATGACCAGAGAGTGCTTGCTTTGTTTTTTTAAGAAGTACATCATTTTTGTTTTTTGTATACATTTCTAAAATTCAAGATTTGTTCTAATATTTTCACAGGTGTAAGCTCCGTGGAAATTGTGGTCCAACATGGTTTAGCTACTCCAGAAGGTCTTACTGTGGACTGGATTGCTGAAAATATATATTGGATAGACAGCAATCTGGATCAAATTGAAGTAGCTAAATTAGATGGTACATTGAGGACAACCCTAATTGCAGGTGCAATGGAACATCCTAGAGCTATTGCTTTGGATCCCAGATATGGGTAATTATTCTTTATGGTATCTTACATTTTTTTTAAAAAGCATGCAGAATTATTTTTTAATATTGCATTGCTTTAATTAAAAGAAAAAAAGAAAAAGCAGCAAAAAAGGGGAAACAACCAAAACTTATTTTAAAGAAAATCATGCAATTTTTAAACATATACAGTATTTAAACTTTGACCATACAAAATATCTGTGGTCAGTCTTTTTATTACTTATTTATTACTTATTGTTATTATTTATTAATAGTAATCAAACATACATTTTAATGACTTTAAATATGGGGCTGTACATTTTCCAAACTGTAGTTTTTTTTTCTTTTTTGTAGTTCCCAACCTTAATAAATTCATAATACTTTATGTTGTGATAAATTGCATTTTTACTATATAATTCAAAGGTACATTTACATTTGAAAACTAAAGACTAAAATACTGAGTAAAACTAAAAAAACTAAAAAAAACTGAATAAAACTAAAGATTAAAACACTGATTACTTGGATGGGCATGGGATCAATCTGATCTCTGGAGAAATGATATTCATAGGCGCCTCAACAAAAAAAGCCTCTCTATCTGGGATTAGCAAGCCAACATATATATTTTCATCATTTAATCTTGTGAAACTCTTTTGCCTATTGAACATTTTTGCATTTTCCCTTGAAATACCTACCTTTTCTGGATTAAGCCTGTTCTAATTCACAATGAGGTTTTTTTTAACTATAGGGCAAGGGTCTCGAACCCTGGTCCATGGACCAGTACGAGGAGGCAGCATGCCAGCAACCACTCTGCACAAACAAGCGAGATGCAGACAGCACACAAAACAACACACCTCTGGTCCATGGAAAAGCCTCTCTCCATGGAACCGGTCCCTGGTGCCCAAAAGATTGGGGACCTCTGCTATAGGGAACAGTTAAAATATTATACTGATTCTGGCATCAGCTGAAAAAGATACATGTAGCTGAGTATTATTGAGGTATAATGAGAACCAGCAGCTAAATGGAATAATACCTTATAGCAGCTTTGCCTAAATCAGGGGTGTCAAACTTCCAGTCTGTGGGCTGGATGCATCATAACAAAACCGCGCATACCCCATTGCCATCGATGGCAAAAAAGTCACGATACATCACAATACATCACGTGACATTGCAAGTTTGACGTCCCTGGCCTAAATGGTAAATAGCATATGTACAGTAGATGTTCAGAGCCTAATGAATGGCAAAGACTAGAATGCTGAATAGTGATCCCTGAAGACATACCTCAAAATGTTCAGAGTACTTGGGACTATTTCTATTCTCCAGGCCCTCTAAACCATATTGAACCATTCACGCAATCACCTTCACTCCTGCAGAACTCACAATATACAACAGGGTGAAAATACTGCAAGCCAATCATGCTACGCTTCAAAGAATGCAAGAAAAATAATTTAATCATTGTTTTGTCCCAAGTCACTAGAAGAATAAATAATTTTTCATACATACCCACTGTCCATGCAAAAAAGAAATAAACTGTTAGTAGCCCATCCACATTGTCATTGCATATTAAATGCTTTTGTCTAGGCATGTTTTAAATATTTGTCTGTCATCGCTAAAACTATTGAGGTGCCAAGTTGTCAGTCCATCTGTATTGAAAACTTTATGGAGAGTTATGAAGATTATGTAACTGGAGACTTGTGTGAAAGCTGTAATTATGGTTGTAGGTTACAGTAGCATCAGAAATAAAAGAAGGAGTAGGGGTGATACTTTTGAAATAAATGTACCAGAAGCAGGATGATGATGGTTACCAATGTCAGAGATGTGTTGAGATGATTCTGGCACAATCAATATTTCCTCACATACATAAACACATAGAGAAATTGTTAACATTTTTATTCATTTCATCACTAGGTGTAAAGCAGTTTTAACTTTTACATACTACTGCTGAAGAAAAGCAAAAACCTTTTCATTTTCACCTTGTTCCCTTCTCCTGGGCCCTTGTGTATAATCAGACCTATTGCAAGAATGTTCAAGAATCAAAATTAAATTCAAACTGAATTTTAAATTGCCATCAGCAGGGAGCTATGCTGAATTGAATTAGCTGTGTGCTAAAACATCTGAAGTTGTGTGCTGAAACATCTTTGAAGTAGTACCTGTGAAGTCAAAAAATAGTATTTCCCCTTCCAAAACAGATAAACAGAATGCAATAAGAGCTAATCCTAAGTATTTAGGTATGTAGTAAACAAAATGGAGACTAAAACATATACAGAATGGTTGCTGGAATTGGGTATGTCTGGTTTAATGAAAAGAAGGACGAGGGGTGACACAATAGCAATGTTCCACTATCTCAGGGGTTGCCACGAAGAAGAGGGAGTAAAGCTATTCTCCAAAGCACCTGAGGGCAGGGCAAGAAGCAATAGATGGAAACTAATCAAGGAGAGAAGCAACCTAGAACTAAGAAGAAATTTCCTGACAATTAGAACAATTAACCAGTGGAACAACCTGACTCCAGAAGTTGTGAATGTCCAACACTGGAAGTTTTTAAGAAGAGACTGGACAGCCATTGGTCCGAAATGGTATAGGGTTTCCTGCCTGAGCAGGGGGTTGAATAGAAGACCTCCAAGGTCCCTTCCAACTCTGTTATTCTATTCTATTGTATTCTAATAGCTCCCTCCAATAGGGATCAGACACTTCAGCATTGTATTTTTTTTCCTGAATTCATTAAACTGGACACATATGAGAGCATAGCAATACAAAGCTTTGGAATAAATTTTAGAGAAGTACAAGCTACGGGAACATTTGGGAGCGTCTCTAAATTTTGCACTGGACTAGTTATTGTGTATAGTAGAAATACCATTATGAAATTCATTCTACATGGCAGAAATAAACAACAATGGCTATTTCACTCACAAAAATTAAATAAATGAGATGGAAAAGTGTGTAGATAATCCTTGTATTTCTGTTGGGGGGGGGGCAATTAAAATCCTGGAATAGCTAATTATTACCAAAGATAGTATTTTTAAATACCAATTAAAATCTTAACAGAACATCCTTTGGAAAAGGTAGATCATGGGCAATTTTCTTGGAGGAATTTATATTTTTCAGCAGCCAATCCATCAGCATTTATCTAACAGCTTTTCTGAGTCAGGAGTGAGTGAGTATAAAATGCAAGTGACTAGCCTCACTTCTACAAGGCAAAACAAACTGAAAGTCATCGATTGGCACTAGGGACATGGCTTAAGTAAGCATTCGCTAGAATTACTTTTTAACCTAGACTTCAAGCAGAAATACATGCAACTGATGTTATCAACAATCTTCAGATAGTCCTTTTTAACTATACAGTACTACAGAGGAAGATGTAATACCCAGTAAGTCACCTGAAATAACTCTACTGGATGACTTTGGGGTAATGTAATAGAGAAAAAGATTTTCTTCCTTTCTACAGAGCAGATCTAACAGGAAAGTTAACGTGTATTTAGATTCAGATTGAAGATTTTTTTTCCTCCTATATTATTTAGTTTATGGTGCTTAACTAAATTTCCTCACTAAGAGGGTATTGTGTTTCAGCAGAGGAATATTTTTAAAAAATGCTCTGATAATTTCATAAATCAATTATAATAAATTCTAATTGTAGAAAATCCCTCAAAATATTTAAGAATTGTTGGAATAGACCAATTTATACCATACATAGAAAATAAAGACACCTCTAAATCTAAAATCAATTAGTCTCTTCATAATAGCGCTGTTTTTCTTCAAATTGTATTACATTCATATTAACTTCATTCTTGCAACTTAAAAATATGTTTTAACTTTAAAAAAAAATAAACTAAATTAGTGATGTAAAGTTATATTTGCAATCAGTATAGTTTTACTGTACCAGAAAATATGGAAGTAAATTTGTTAGCAAAATTGCCATTTTTCCAATGGTAGAAAACATATATGTGAGATATAGATCCTATCATTCACTCACTCACTCACTCATTTCAAAATATTTATATAGTATGACTATCTTGAGAAAAAAAATCTGGGCTAATAGTGATTGGTGGCTAATAATGATTATTTTTTTCTAAAATATTGATTATTTTATTTGCTCCCATTAATAAGTTTTGTTTTGTTTTGTTTTTTGTATCATTCAGAATTCTGTTTTGGACAGACTGGGATGCTAATTTTCCTCGCATTGAATCTGCTTCCATGAGTGGAGCAGGAAGAAAGATCATATATAAAGACATGGATAGTGGGGCATGGCCTAATGGTCTTACAGTTGATCATTTTGAAAAACGGATAGTTTGGACAGATGCTAGGTAAAATATATGAATATGTCTCTTATAATGTATTTTTGGAATATATTACAAAGAGTAGAAAATATTATTTGATTCCTATTTTAATGTCTAAAATTGTAATTGCTACAACAATATGTAAGTTAGGAACTTATATAAGCTTCTTAAACAATTGTATTGCAGATCTTTGAACAACCAAAATGCTTATATTTAGGAAAATATACATGAATATGCATGCATAGTTTACACAGAATTTAAATAAATCTGAAAAATGATATAGGAAAGTATTAGAAAAATATAATCACATAAAATGACCAGAACAATCATATTTGATATTCTGTAAAAGATTGATCCAAAATTTTATTTCCATAAAAAATGAGAAGGACAATATTGATTTTTAAAAAGGAACAAGAGCTGTTGGTTGCCACGGAAGGTGGTGAAAAATGTTGGATATTAAGGAACAATTGAAATGCACAAACAATGGTTCTAGATTTGGTTATATTTTCTGTTTTTATTTATTTAAAATATCAAAATATACCATTATTCTATTGGAGAATATTGCATTATAGTGCCATAATAGGTAGTGTGCCAATTCAGGCCAAGGAAAAAGAATCTCCTGGGTGGAATATGGAAGATGTTATAAAGGTGGCTAGAAAATGTCCATGAAGAGTCTGCAATTGTACCATAATCAAATCAGGGTGAATGATTTTAGCCCTCTCATTTTGTAGGTCTAAATCCCAAATCCTATGTTTGATTAAAGTTTTATCTGGGCAACTGACAATATTGCCAGAAATGAGAGAACATAATATGCCAGATCAGAATCAATTTGCCTCCTCAGGGAAGAAGGAAACCTATCCAGTAAAGGTTTGTTTTAGCCAAAATCTGACAGGTGGTCCCCAAGTCAAATGCAACCAAGTTCCAACTGAACAAGGACATTTGAAACAAAGCAAGGGACATGAAGTATGGCTTTCAGAAAGTTAGACTGAATAGCTTCTAAAATAGGGGCATCCTTATAAACACAAAGTTGTGTACTAAATATCAATAACCCAAAACCTTTGCTTTACATAATTTTATTGCTGCAGGAATGTAATTATTGCCTTGATGACTAGGATAATTTAAGATTGTGAGAAATAGTTGATTATTCCAGTGGATAGGGGATTGGGAGTGGATGCCTAGGCATTTAACATTCTTAATCTAATCAGTTAGTCTTTTGTTCAATTTCCACTTTATAGGAGGTTTATAGAAGGATTATAGGACAATTAAAGAGCTTAGAGTTTTGAGTAATTTTCAAGAATTTCCCCAGAACAGTGGACACTAATGGAAATAGGCATCTTTGAAGGCCCACTTAAAACAGCATGTTGGGCAAATACTGGAGAGTGAAATTATAATTTAGAAAGAGCTACAACATCACTTATATAGAAGTTGAACAATAAAAGAGCAATAATATCATCTTATTTGATTCCTCTGAGGACAGGGAGATGGTTACATCACCATTACAATTGCCTGTAATCTGCACTGTAATATTTTGATGAATATAATTGCCAATCTGAGAAAGTGATGATCAATGGATATTATAATATCCATTATAGTTTCCTCTGTATAAATGGAGTCTAAGGCTGTCCTTAAATCAAGAAAGGCAACATAAAGGCTACCTTTGGGAATTTAGAGTTTTTTCAACCAAATGTATTTAATAGCACATTGATTCATAGTAAAATATCCTGATCTGCTACCTGATTATTAAAAGGGGGGATATTCACTGAGTAGATTCAGTCTAAAAGTTTATGGTGTAAAAATTGGCTATAGAGTTTTTTAACTGTTAAAAATAAATTAATTGAGTGGTAATAAACATTTGCTTATTACTTTTCTAGTATATTGTGAGAATGATACAGTTAAGCAACCCTTTGGGAAACAATGTAAAGTTACTTTTTTCATTTATTTGTTTAACTTTCCAAGAAATAGATCATAGTTGTATTAAGCAGAATTTCAACAGAGAGTATTTCAACTGTTTTTCAGGTCAGATGCTATTTATTCAGCACTGTATGATGGGACTGGCATGATTGAAATTATACGAGGTCATGAATATCTTTCTCACCCTTTTGCTGTCTCCCTGTTTGGGAGTGAAGTATATTGGACAGACTGGAGGACAAACACATTATCTAAAGCAAATAAATGGACAGGCCAAAATGTTAGTGTGATACAAAAAACCAGTGCACAACCTTTTGATCTTCAAATTTATCATCCAAGTCGTCAACCCCAAGGTAAAGTAATAATTTTAATAAAAATGTTAATTGCAGTCTTTGTATTCATATTCAACCTCACTGTTAAGTAGCAAATATAAATGGGAAATTTGTATATGTTTATGTGAAAGACTTTTCTGTGTGTGTTTGTGTGTGTGTGTTCACGCAACTGAGAAATCTGACATTTTGTATTTATCAATAAATATTTCTCTGAATGCCAATTTATATTTTTTATAGTACTTACGCAGATAAAATGACAATTTTTGAACACTGATTCCCTAAGTTACATATTAAGATACCTAAAGAAAGCATAAAACTAATTGTCTTTTGTATATGCTTCTGGGAAGAAGTTACCAGCCATTAGTTGTTAAGGGGATACTTTAATTTTGGGTCAAGATAATAATAAATATTGTGTTTATGTATCACACACTGCACCAATTTTGGAACCATCCTGTGAGGTTATTATTTTTAATAAGTATTGTAGTCAGACTGACTATTAACAGCTGCTCCCTCATCAGCACTGTTTCATGGGGAAATTGATCTAGGGTTGTTGAAAAATATTATTTGATTTTCGAGGATTCTAATAGGGGAAATTACAAAGAAATTTTTCCTTTTTTCACCCTGCTGCTGCTTTAAGTAGCATAGTTGCAGCACTCCAAAGTGATACCTTAACATTTTCACTGAAATACTGTAGCATTATCTGCAATGGAGTATTTAAGGCTTTATGGGACATTAGTAGAAATCACACTTTTCTTCATTATAACTTACGATTATTCATCTTTATATGCTCTATACAGTGATATTATGCATCCATTCAATACTGTGAAAGTAGACACAATGTTGAATAATAACAGTATGCTTCAGAAATCCTCTTTATGAAACTTCATGTTTTGTGTTTTTTCAGCTATTAAAAAAAAGAAAAATAGAATGGCAATATGGGTTAAAAATTAAAGAAAAAAGCTTTAAACTTTGAACTGCAAAAAAAAAAAAAAGAAAAAACTATTGACCTCAATATTTTATTTTCAGGAATTTAAGACTGCACTTGTTAGTAATGACCAGTATATGTCTCTGGACTAAAATTCAGTTAGTCTTGATGTCAAATAGATTAGATTTATATTAATAAAATAAATAGTTAATTCCATCTAAGCTTTGTAATACTTAGAAAACAATAAGAAAAATCAATATTTATTTTTAGAGAAATCTTTTCACAAGGAACCAAATTTATGATATATTTCTATTATACCTGCATTTGTTTTCATCTTTTTGTGAAAATATATTTGCAATCATTAGATTAGAAATCCTACAAATAATCCAATATAGGCATATAACACATTACAGATATGTGCACTTAAATATCCTCCATTATGCTTTAAGTCAGCAGTAAAGTACAGACAACTTAAATGTAAGTCTCTCTATCATATTACATTTATTTTAATCTTAGTAATTGCAGTGGGCTTTCATTGCTAGACATTTAAAAAGTTATGTAAACAGTCCTTAAACTTGCATTTAAAGCAGCGGTTCTCAACCTGTGGGTCGTGACCCCATTTGGGGTCAAACGACCATTTCACAGGGGTCGTCAAACAACGCAGTCTGCCATTTTCCCCCCTTTTCCTTAGTTGTGCTACTCCCTCTTATTCTATTGGCTTTTGAAAGCCAATAGAATAGACTCTATTCAAGAGACTCTATTCTATTAGCGTTCGAAAGCCAATAGAATCTATTGGCTTTTGAAAGCCAATAGAATAGACTCTCTTGAATAAAGTCTAATTCTATTGGATTTCAAAAGCCAATAGGAATTGTACAGGCTGTCTCTTCCCTGCTGAGCCTGCCAAAAGTCCCAGTCTGCAAATGGTGCTGCAAGTTGTCTGCAGCTCAGGCGAGCTTTCTGGATGTTTCCACCCCTCCCTGCTTAGCAACTACTAAATGAAAGAGGGCAGAGGTGGGAGGTGGGAGGCCGGCGGGTGCAGGGAGGGTTGCTGGAGCCATGGGGCCTGGCAGGTGCCTTACCTCCCTTGGTCTGGGCCAGCTGGCGGCCCAGCTGGTGGTCGCCCTGTGCCCTCGCTGCCGCGTGCCATGGCCACCCAGGAGCGCCTGGGCCTGCCTGCCACCGCACCAAATGTGTGGTGGTAAGGCTAGTGGGGCAGTGGCAGGCACAGGGAGGGTTGCTGGTGCGCGTGGGGCCCGGTGGGTACCTTATCTCCCTTGGGCTGGGCCAGCTGGTGGCCCAGCCAGTGGTCACCCTGTGCCCTCACTGCCACGTGCCATGGCCGCCCAGCAGCTCCTGGGCCTGCCTGCCACTGCTCCAAATATGTGGTGGCCAAGGTAAGGCTAGCGGGGCAGCGGCGGGCACAGGGAGGGTTGCTGGTGTGCGTGGGGCCCAGCGGGTGGCTTACCTCCCTTGGGCTGGGCCAGCTGGTGGCCCAGCTGGTGGTCAGCCTGTGTCGTCACTGCCGCTTGCCAACTATGCCGTGGCTGGCACAGGGGGTGGCACCACGCATGCACGGTGCTCCCGGGCCGAGGCAGTTGCTGGCTGATGGCCTGCGTGCACCCTCAGCCTGCCCAGCGTGCGCTCCAGCCGCAGGAGAGGAGGCAGAGTGTGTGCGCCTCCTCCTGCTCCGCCTGCAGGGAAATACAGGTAGTCCTCAACTTATGACCACATGGTTGGGGGTCGCGGCATTAGGAAGGTTGAGAACCACTGATTTAAAGCTTCTTTTGCTAAAAATTTAAGGAAACTCACCTGATGCTATAAAATATGTCAGTTCAAATATTCCTAATAGCTGAATAACAGTCAAAAGGCAATCCTTGAAAATGATTAAGAAATGAGAAAAAGAAGAAAGAAGAAGTTTGTTCATATAGCTTATATTATGGTTGTGAGCTTGAACAAAATCCCTCAATTCCCTGACATTTAATTCATAGCTGACCATAAAAACCTCAGTTCCTTCAGTCTACTCATGAGAAGCAGCTGTTCAGAATACAAATGGGCAATATCCTGATTTCTTCTTTTCTGGAGAGACTTCATCAGCCAGAATTCTCCTGACTGCCAATCTCGACTGCATTGCTATCCTGTCTCCTTCAGAAACATCTTGTTTGACATGAATCCTCATCAGAAGTCCACTTATAAGAACTTTGTTGAATACGTCAAGAAACAGAAAACATATAATGGTATCAATAGCCACTGGGAACATCTCTGCCATTACCAAATCCATCAACCCATTGCTGAGCACACATTTAAGCACAATCCTGGATAGAGAAAAAAAGTATGATTTCCTTGCCAATGGAATTCAGTTCAAAAATCCAGATGACCAGATCTCCTAATACCAGACTTCAGGGCTAGATGATCATCTGTATGGATTGAACACAATAGAAAAGATTCCATTCAAACCCTTCCAATGGCATTTCTTCCCTTCTGAGAATGTACTAATAGCCCAAAGAACCCAGAAATGCATCAAGAACAAAGAGTACTTAAGTCATCTGAAGAAGAAAATGAAGAAAGCCTTCAGGTTGCCATGAAAAAACAAAAGTAAAATTGAAAATATACTTAACTTCTGAGCCTTTTTTATGATAAAGCAAATGTTGTTCTCTGCGTTCCTCCTCTAGAAATTATTTTCCAGCCTGCAAAAGAAGCAGAAATAACTATCACTTTATGTTAAAGAGTAATGAATTATATGTTTCCATGGGCAAGACCCAGCTCAGGTTCTCTTCCTTTGGGATGATCATTGGATAATAATAACTGAATGCTAATAAATGTCACTTCTCTGCAGCTTATATATCTTTGTTCCCTTTTTCTCCCTCTCTGATTAATATGAAATCTTGCAGAATAGGAAACCATACAATATATGGTTAATTTATAAGCAAATTTATATTATAAACAAACCTCAGCATTACATTTTTAATTCTAGCTCCTAATCCTTGTGCTGCTAACAGCGGCAGAGGTCCTTGCTCTCATATGTGCCTGATAAATCATAACAGGAGTGCTGCTTGTGCATGTCCTCATCTAATGAAACTGGCTGAAGACAAAAAGGCATGTTATGGTAAGTTTCATACAGTTTATTTTCCTAACAATTGCTTAAAAACAAGAACAGAACCTCCGTAGTGCCATTTACTGATTATCCTGATGGTAAAATCTTGCTTCATGTTAATGAATGGATTGCTTGAATGTATTTAGCTTGTGAAGATTTATTATCTTGGGTTTTCCCCCCCTTTTTACTATGAATATAAATAGTGCAGTTCATAGAAGTTATCTTTCCAAAACAGGGACATTTCTTAATGGGAAAATATCAAATGATGATGCAAGTAAACTATATAATGAAAAGCTTCTTATTAATTTAATCTCTACCTTTCTTCTTTTGAACTCAGTATCATTCTAGGAGTCTTATAATGCAGAAGATACTAAAACAATTCTTTAAAACTATAATAAAGGCAGAAATGTGAAAACTCTCATGTATTTGGTGTTTGGGGAGAAAAATAAAATAAAACTGCTATAATGCTTCATTATCAAGATATACCAGGACAACATGATATATTAACAAATATATTATTTTCTTTGAGATATAGACAATTGGATAAAAGTATTGATCCTTTTATATAAAATTTCCAACTTCAGAATAGACAACTTTCCACAAAATGTTTCCACTCATCTTGGAGACAGGAGCTCATTATACACATCCTCTTGTATTTGTTTTTGTAGCAGAACACTATCCTTACCTTCACAGTTGTTGATTCTTTTCACCAGAAAATTATAGTTACATTTTTCCATGTTCCATATAGTTTCTCTCTTATACTTAAGCTTCTGTTTCTTTTTTTCTTCTTTAAAAAACCCCATATATTTAATTACTATAAGGACTGATAAAGTAAAGCAATAGTCCACACAATTCAGAGTAGATTAAATTGTACATAACTAACTATTGTACAAAACATGAAACCCACAAACTAAGTCAGCTGAGTGACCTTGCAGCAGTCACCTCTCTTATCCCTTATTCAGTCATTTCTGAAAAATGCTGCCAAGAAAAGTTCAGGAACTTTTGCCAAGAGTCCAAAGTAACCTGAAGGCACAACTTTCAAGCATATATATGACATATAATTCTATTTTTAAGTTTCTATACTTTAGTTAAGAAATATGTAAATATTTTAACATGTCACTATTACATCCATTTTCAATTTTCTTATATTCTTGTATTTGGTGCACAAATTTATACTTCGTTTGAGAAAAATTATACAAAACATTTTTTTTCCATACATGAGACCAGAAATTAAAGGGAATATTGTAGGGAAGTGATAAGTGGGAGAAGGAGGTAAGGAGGTAGTTTTCATGATAATTTGGTAGTAGCTCAGAAGAAAACATAATATGACTCATTACTTATTAATTATGTCTGGTTCCTATCTGATTTTAATTTGTTGATTAAAAAATGTATAAACACATTTGATTTTCTAAGTCAACAGGCAGTCTGCAGTAATCCAGTTCAGTGGCCCTCATTTTTATTTGGATTTGATGTCGTTGGTGTAAACAATAAAGGCCAAATTTAAAAAAAAAAAAAAAAAACCACCAAAACCTTCTTCTTCCAAAATGCACCACATCAAAGCGACTCCTCAAGGCAGCTTTTCTCCATCCTTTTAGAGCAAGGCCATGGATTTTGTAGGGCTGGGGAACTATATTTGGAAGATTCCATTGCATCCAGTACAAGGAGCAGCTAACAGAAGCAATAGGAACATTTCATATACTACTTTCATATGAGAAATGTATGTATGTGTGCATGTATGTATATTAGGGTAGAAATGTTCTAGTTATTTTTTTACACCCTTTCAACATAAAGGTGAGGAGATTGGGCTCTTTTTTGAAGAAGGAAGAAAATTCTCTCCATCATATATACACAAGAAGATCATAGGGTGAAGGCCAGGTAAAGAGCTCCCACAAAGATAGATGATAGCAACAAAACTACAAGTGAAGAGCCAGAGGGCAGTTTGGGAAATGACACTTGGGATCTACTACAAATCTCAGCATTTCACTACATTGTTGAATAACTCTCTTTCGATTTGTTAATTTTGCTAAAAAAACTTTTTGGGGGGAGGGGAATGTAGGATTCATTGGAGAGATTAAAAAAACTTAGTTGAATCAATCAAAATCAGCTTTCACACCTCTGGATCACATTTTGTTTCAATCAGTATATTTTTAATTTATTTGTTTAATACCAGCAAAATAGCTGAATTTTATTTATAGTAGGATAATATCCTATTATTTTGCTCTATTCTGCAACAAGTTTTGTTCACACATAATAGTACCAAATAAGTTACACACTTGCATATAGTATTTTTTAATACAGATAGTCTTCAACTTATGATCACAATTGAGTCCAAAATTTCTGTTGTTAAGCAAGACAATTGTTGTGAGTTTTGTCCCATTTTATGACTTTTCTTGCCATAGTTGTTAAGTGAGTCACTGCAGTTGTTATGTTAGTCACATAGTTAAGTGAATCTGGTTTTCCCATTGACTTTGGTTATTAGAAGGTTGCAAAAGGTGATCACATGACTCCAGGACACTGCAACCATTATAAATATAAACCAGTTGACCATGGGGATGCTGCAACAGTTGTAATGTGAAAAAAGATAACTTTTTTCAATGCCATTGAAAATGCTACAAATAGTTACTAATCGCCATAAGTCGAGGACTACCTGTATGCAAACTTAAATATTATATATATATTGTTATACATAAAATTGCATTTCATTGCTCTGTATCTAAGAAAATCACATCTTTCTTTTTTTTATAGAAATGAAGAAGTTCCTTCTTTATGCAAGGCATTCAGAAATTAGAGGTGTTGACATAGAGAATCCATACTTCAATTATATAACAGCATTTACAGTTCCTGATATTGATGATGTAACAGTTGTAGATTTTGATACAGTGGAAGAACGTTTATACTGGACTGATGTGAAAACACAAACTATAAAACGGGCCTTTATTAATGGGACTGGCTTAGAAACTGTCATATCACGAGGTAAATTATGTACTTTAGAAAGCACTATTATGTATATTTAAGAAATAAAACATAAATTAGCTTTCCTCCCTAATTAACATATTAACTGACCATGTGTTGAGCTAAGCTGGCTATTGTTAATTGCACAAAAAGATTCTCTTAGTTATGCATTACATATTTAAGCTTCCTCAGCAATAATTAACAATACATCTTGGACTATTGTATATTTAAGCTTCCTTAGCAATAAACAACAATACATCTTAGATTAAAATTCTTTGGCTTGAAAACTGCATTTTTGCCACTTTTTCCCCCTTGTACCTACAAATAGATTTCATTTTGGTTTGATATTAGTTTTTCTCTCAGAAATCCCAAGATATGGGATGGCCAAGAAATAAAGCTGTTTGTTACATACAGTTTTTCAAAATCATATTTCAGTTAAATTTGATAACCTCATTTTCTAAATCTAAGGGGCCTTTCAAAAGTCTTTAATTTTTAAGCAATTTGTTTTATATTTGGTCATCTTGTATTAGAATGCCATCTAAAGTATCCCAAAGAAAATAGTAATTATATATGATTGTATCCAAATCTGTCCATCTGATGTTATAATATGTGACAATGACCTTGAGGGGGGTGCTGCCTAAGGAATGATCACATGGAGGGACCCCAGCTGCATAACAGGAAGAAAAAAAACTCAGAAAGGATCCTCTATAATTTATTAGGCGGTAAAAAGAGATGGTGGGAGATTTGTACTTTTAGATTTACATCAAGTAGAATTAGCTTATCTGATCGTGTTTCCTGTTTGGTCTATCAAGGAAATCTGATACCTGCATAGAGAAGAGAAACTGCTGATTAAATACATCCCAATGCCCCTTCATCTATTGAGACTTTGAGCTGTAAAAACCTAATCTGGTTTAGCATATATAATCTGTACCACAGAATCTTGCAGGAAGATCACAAAAGTACCAGTATTCAATATAACACTTTTTAAAATCTTTGTTCTCCAGAAACTGGTGTACAAAATGATGTAGTCTGCATGTAGAGTACAGTCATCAAAATTAGTAAACGTTGATTTTTTAAAAAAAAAAACTATTAATGCTATTTAAGATCAGGGCTTTTTTTCTCATAGAACGCCCAGAACGGAGTTCCGGCACCTTTTTGGATGGAACCTTGTAGGGTAGGCAAGGCGGGTTGTATGACATGTGTGAGTTCTGGCACCTTTTTTTTTTTTTTTTTAGAAAACACTGTTTAAGGTGACAGCTATCTCCATCTTCTTAGTTCTGCTGAGTGCAATTGAAGTATTGCCTCCTTTCATCAGACATGAATGTTTTCCGACAAGCTTTGTTGAATGTCCTCTGGGACGTCCTGTTTTAAAAGCACTCTAAAACTGTTGTCTTTCAATTTTCTCTACACCAGGATTATAACCTCTTTGTCTGAAGTGAACTTTTCTCATTCAGTTCTTAAATTATTTTTTTCTTATTTAACCTTAAAATGACAGATTTTAGTTTAATGTTTTCTCTTCTTCCCATCCACATTTTCAATGAGCATGAATAAAGCACTGAATAAACAAGTAGTTGTGTAACTTTAATCCATTAAAATTAAAGCTTGCATTTGTTCCATGCAGTATGAAATCTAGTCGTATATTTCCTGTAATCTATGTTCCATAGATTACAGATGTGTTACTCAGTACAGTTGTTAGGAGGGCTGGGGGAAAGTGCATTAGCTATGAAATATATGTCTGTTTCAAGGGCTTTTCCAGGTTATATATGCATGTTGTGCATTTCTTCACCAGGAGACGTGAAACTATGTGGTCAGTGCGTGCATATCCATAAAATGGAACCTAAGAAAGGTCTTAAAGTGGCCATGCTAAACCTCAGTGCTCTTTGGATGCTTTGGACAACCCAATATTCACAATCTTCATTTTGCTCTTCGTGCTTATTATGTATACTTTTGTTCAGTCCTATATATTGTAGCATAAAAGCTACAATATGAATTTGAATTAAATAAAATTTGTATTGCAGGCATCAAATTACTTGGGGTTCAGACAGCATATAAAATATTTTCAGCAGTAAAGACTAATTAGTAGGACAGTTTGGGCAAATAGATATTTTTATATATATATTGCAGATATTCAAAGCATTCGTGGACTGGCTCTGGATTGGTTATCTCGTAATTTATACTGGATTAGCTCAGAATTTGATGAAACACAAATTAATGTGGCTCATTTAGACGGCTCTTTAAAAACTTCAATTATACATGGAATTGATAAACCCCAATCTCTTGCTGTTTATCCAGCTAAAGGGTAAAGTATTATTCCTATCAGTACAGCTTTGGGATAGTAAACAATGTGCATTCTTTAAGATATAAATGTATGTTTGCTTGTCAAGTTGAATACTACTTGCACTTTGTTATATAATCTTGTTTTAGCCACCCAGAATCATGTGGCAATTGGGCAGCTATATAAATAGAAGAAATATAAATATAAACATAAAAAGAGAATTTAGTGAATTCTATCTTCCTATAAGATGAAATCTCCATGGAGTACTAGTATGGAGACTCCATTTTCTAGAAAAAAAAAAGGTAATATGTATGTCAGAAGAAAAAAGATATAATAAATTAGACCTCTGTGTATCCAATGTTTGTACGGATAGCTATTTTATTTTTAAGGAATTTTGCCTCTATATGTAAAAACTTGTAATTTTTTTCATGATCAGTATTAGAACTACATTTTACTGCATGATTTAAAATATTTTTGATATTCTAATATTAATCACAATCTGGAAGAGACAGTGATACTATTTGTAATCCTCTAAAGAAAAACACCAATTAAAATATGATATTATAATATGACCAATACTAAGTATCTTTGGACTCTAAGAAATTGCATTCCTATCACTGCAGTTTATTTTTGATACAGCATAACATTAAAAATTAAACAACATATATTGTCATTCTTAAAAATTTAATTAAAAATCTTCTGTTCCAATTTTCAGTTAGAAAACTCAAAGTTGTTAAATATATTTTAAAGCTAAAACTTCACATCTGTAAATTTTAATGCATTGTTTTGTACATTAATGCATCTTATTATTTAGTTTATGTAGTGCAGATATGGTGATTATTCCCAATGCATGCCAATTCATGATTATCCTTTTACTAGATTTAGAAATGATATTCAGTAATAATTCCATACAATTTCTGATTGAGAAATGGTTTCACGGTGGTAGAAGAGAACCCATGTAAAGCTATATTACATTATGTTCACCTAATAATTTGGGGAAATAGGAGATAAAAATTCATCAGGTCTAAAGCCCTATATTTCCCCCATATATCACCTATCCACAAAACTTCCAGTCTGGTGCTAGAATCATAAATTTCTTTCCATAATAATAAATGGAAAAAAGAAATGGATGACTCCTGCCACAAGTTATAAAATGTGGCTGTTGTTCCAGAATGGAGTGTCTTTCTTTTCATAATAAGATATGGTTACTTTGTTAATATGTTTAATACAACAGTATTTTATACCTCTTTTCATTAAGGAAGCTTTATTGGATTGATGGGAACACAATTAACATGGCAAATATGGATGGCAGCAACAGTAATATACTACTACAGAATCAAAAAGAACCAGTTGGTAAATATTGCTATAACCTCTCTCATGTCAAATTGTTTTGCTATAACTCAAGATATTGTATCTGTATAGGTATTTGACATAATGTGCACAAAGTAAAAAGGCATAGACAATAGCAAATACTTTGGATTTCATTTTTCACAAGAGTACTAGAGTGCTGAAATTTTCATGACTCAATTCACTAAGTCGCAATCTGATTTATTTGACTTAGTATGTTGTATACATTTAACCATATAATTTATAGCCTACTCTTTACCAATGGAATGTGGGTCAGATTTAATAAACCAAGGTTTTAAAGCCATAACTTAATGAAACTTGTGAACCAATCAATTCAAATTTGTGTTTCTTTAGAAATGTATAAATTAAGCAGACATTTGTAAAGGAAGGGTCAAGGTATGGATGGTTTGGTTTGGCTTAGTTTATTATTATTATAGATCAGAAATAACTTTAAAAAGAAGATAATAAAATAGTTATCTAAAGAAAGTTTGTTCTATTGAAAATGTACATCAAAACACATATAAAATAGTATATGCTTTGGCATACTATCTTTGTCAGAATACTACCAAAGCAAACAAATCATATAATTATGATACATTAAGCCTGGTTTGTTTTTCTTTCAACAATGAGACAGTATACTATCCTGTGTGTTTTGTCTTTATTGACTTGGATTTTTTTTTAACTTGTGCTGTTTATGTGGGTTTTATTGTGACCTATGTTTTATCTTCTCTTTATCTTTTTAATAGAACGTGTGTGTGTGTGTATATATGTTTATGTATGTTTGAAGTTATGAGGCTTTTTTGTGATATGTTTGTAAAAGGTTCTATTTATGTGACAAATGATTGTGAGGTGGATTTAGGGAAATAGTTATGGACTTTCATGCAGGTGTATATTTTCCTATATTTTTTCTCTTTATTAACATAAGTATTTTGGTGGTGGTTTTGGCTTACCTTACAATTTGCATTTGGAGTCTTCAAAATTTGTGAATTTTGTATAAGGAAGAATTAACCATGACAGGAAAGGCTATTAGTTTACTTCAAGGAGCAAGTATTTTAAGATGGTTTTGCGTAGCATTTTTGTAGATTAGTATAAACCTTGGGTCAAACACAAAAACAAACTCAAAATATTAAAGAGTATTAGCTGATAACACTGAAAAACCATGTTTAAAAAGGCCAGGAGTTTCATAGTTTCAACTTGTAAAATATAGTTTCAACTTGTAAAATATTGCCAAAAATATAGGATGGGTTCATATATAAAAATCAAACTATAATCAGACAAAAGAACTCTTCCTTTGTATTACATGTATATCCCATACAATTAAGCGTTCTTCGTTGGTGGACTTGAGGGGAAAATTGGCAAAACCCTATAGCATTTCATACTCTAACACTGAGTACCCCTGCTGTATTTTCAACAGATTCTAAGAAATAACAAATATGTTTAGGACATATATTATTACATAATTGAGATTTATTATTTCAGTCTTCTTCTTCTTTACATTTCTCCCTTGCATTTCTTATTTCCCTTATTTCTGTTCACAATTTCTGGCTATTAATGATTTTTACTTTTGTCTTTTTTCTATTAAAAGATTTTAGCAATTTATCTTATCTTCATTTCTAAGTTCATTTTAGTTGTTTCTTTGCAAAATAATTTGGCTATGTAAAATTATGGAATTTTAAATTATGAATAGCAAGCATTCTAATTTGTAGACCAGTTCTGTAAAATACAGCAGTATGTGCTGAGGCAGAAACACTTCTAGAATTGATCTCAAAAGTGTTATTCCAAATTAAAGGTAGGATTGTGACAAGTCTATAGGCCAGGCATGAATAATGTTTTAAGAGTCATAGACCACAGTTCATCTTAAAATTCCAAAGGATTGAGGGAGATCATCTTGTTCTGTAGCAATATCTTTAGTAAGAGTAAAAGTGTATTTGGCAATACTTTTTCATATTTGGAAAAGTGAAATGTAAGATTTTGCTATTTTTATGACAGATTTCAGTTATAGGGATTGAAGTAAGTTTGGAAGTGGTGTTTTTATTTTTACTAACTCTTCCTTCATTCAAATGCAAACATACATTGAAAATCAGCCTCACAAATAAAAATCTGGGGCCATTTTTTAAAGCATTTAAAGTTGGGAATAGGAACAGCAGGTGTGGCTTCCAATTCTCATCTCCATTTATTGGCTAGGATAAAGAAAAAAAAATATCCCATCAAAACTGTGCACACTGGTTACAGATGTTAGTTGTAGTTTCAAGGTGTTGAAGAACTGCAGCTGGAGAAGATGGTTTGAGAATTGCTCACTTCTGCTATATGCAAACTATTCCCATTATGCACATGGTTTCATAATGTGCCCTTAATAAATGTTAAGTCATGATTTGTTGACTAAATGATAGTTGACTGGGTCCACAGATTTCAGTAATGAATAATTATGGCTTCTAAGTCACAGTGATTGGATTCACATATTATGGAATAAGTCACATTAAACCTTAGCATAATTCATTCAATCAGCCATAAAGCTTTGCCTTAAATTGTGAGAACATTTGTTAAAATAACTTGACTTGGCTGATAATAATGGAGGAAAGAAATGACATTTTTAAATAATTTGCATATTCAAAAAAGTACTGCAAAATAAAATTCATTTCAGTAATATGAAGTCTTCCCTAAATAGTTTTACCACTGTTCACTGTATTGCTTTTTGTATTAATAAAAAAAATATTCAGCAACTGACTAATCTCTGTTTGCCTATTGCATTTTAAAATCCATTTACTTAAAATATAATTGTATTACAATCTTGTCAGAGTAACTACTTGGCATTTATTAGTATGTACTGCTACTCAGTGAAGAATGGTAATCTTCAAGCAATTTGGCTCAACAAGTTTTGCTTCTCTAAAATAAAAAAAGAGACAACAACAGCATTTTAAGCTTATATATTGTTAAACATTGCTCATTTAGATGTATTCTTTGTTACCAGAGGTATTAAGAACCTCAAACAAAATATGTGATTGAATTAATTAGTAAGCAATGGATTTAGAATTCAATCTCCTAATGAAAATGTCCCCTTCCCCAATATATTTTGTTGCTTAGATATTTTCATTTGTGCACATTGGTTTATTAAAGTATACAGTTTAATAAAGTGTACAAATGGCAAAACCTATGGGAAAGAAATTACAAAATAATGAGGGCAGCTACTTACAAAGAGAATGTATATAAAATATTCTATAGATGGCACTTACAACCTGCAAGATTAGCAAAAATGTTTAAAAATGTGTCTAGCAATTGTTGGAAATGCAGATAAAATCCAGGCATGTATTATCATCTTTGGTGGACATGCCCTAAAGCAAAGAACTATTGGTCAAAAATACACAGGTGGCTAGAAAAGATGATAGGAACACATGTAGACTATAAACTGGAATTATAATATCATAAAATTATGATAAGAAATGTGTATACTTAATACCACAAGTATTAACAGCAGTGAGAATTATATTTGCTCAAAACTGGAAAAATGAAGAAATACCATCTGAAGAAGACATAATTAAGAAAATGTTGGACTGCGCAGAAATGGATAGGCTTAAATTGAAAATGAAGGGGAAGCAAGACTCAATACTTTCAAATATGGCAATTTTTTTTATAAATGGTTAGAAAAACGGAATAAAGGGTAGGAATGGAAACTGTATTACTATTAATGCTAAACACATAAACCCAGACAATGTGTTGCTTATTAAATACTAAGATTGTTACTGTAAAAAATTAATAAAATATACATAAAAAATAAAATATAGTGAGGAAAATCATACCAAGATAACAAACCTTTGTTAAAAAAATAAAAATAGGTAGGTAGGTAGGTAGGTAGATAGGTAGGTAGATAGATAGATAGATAGATAGATAGATAGATAGATAGATAGATAGATAGATAGATAGATAGATAGATAGATAGATAGATAGATAATTTTATATCTATAGTTGCCTATGAGCAAAATGATACTCGTGGGATAATCACCCTGGAGGAAGAGAGACTGTTTTCATATTTCTCTTTCCCTACAACTTGTGAAATACTGATGTAGTTGATTGAAGATAGTTAGAATCAAACAGATTGTGACATAAAGGATGAGAAGGATGAATCAGTTGCATTCATCTTGCCTTAATACTTTTTTCTGGATTCCAGTTTCTTCTGTGAAAATAAAGTGTCTTTGAATTCTCAGAACAAATATTCTAAATCTAACTCACTGTCTCATGATAACAACATGAGGCAACAAGCATATATCAGGAACAAAATCTGTAGAAGAAAATCTGTCTCAAAAAAATCTAAAATGATTTCTAAATTGTGGATATAAAATATATGTTCGGTTTCTTTACTGGCTAGAAACATGCAAGAAAGTAGGCAATTCTATTGGATGCACCCAGTATCAAAATCTGTGCTTGCATAAAATTGTAAAATTAAGATTAAAAAAGGAGTAGATAATATTGTGAAGTTTTGGTGCTCTCTGTCACAGTATTAGATGAATGCTGACAAATTATGGTTTTATATACTGTAGAATTATGCCCTGCTCAGTAAGTTTCTAATCCTGCAGTACTTCTATAAACTACTAAATTGTAGTGCCAGCAATTAATATTACACTGTTATGTACGTTTTCTGCAAAACAGAATTCAATTATCTTAATACCAAATGTCATCTTAGAATTTTATTGTATTATAACTCTACATTAACTTTGAACCTTTTTAAGGCAAGTGTATAGCTTCAGAATATATAACAAGAACTGTACAAGTTTCCCTAATTATTAATTTAAAAAATAAAATAAAATGTATAATTCTGATTTTTATTTTCATAATTTCCCTAATTACTATAGAACATCCATGGAGACTTGGGCTATCAGTGGCTAATAGGACTGTGCAATCATTCATTCAGAACAGGTGATCAGAAACAAATGGGAGCTTGTACACGGCAATTTTTGAAGAAGCTTGCAAGGCTTGAAAAAGACAGGAATGTTTTAACCTAAAAATTGTAGTACATATTTACTGGGTAATAGGGGGACAAAAATGTTGTTACTTATTTTCATGCAATAACCAGGAAACTTGTAGTAAAGGTAACGATTGGATAGAAGGTAAACAATCAACACTGAAAAAAAAGGAAAATTAGGAAAGTATTAAAAAGTGAAACCCCAAGAACAAAGGGCAAAAATTATCAGTAATATTGCTTGCAATGGATAATAAAGAGGGCTTATCTGTCCCAAAGTCTTTATTTATTTATATAGGAAAAACAATAACAAGTAAATAACACAAGTTATTTTATTTTGATACTGTTCAGATTTTTATTTGCTTTCTTTTTTAAAAAAATCTAACAACTGGGCTATTTTTTAAAATGATTTAGAATCCATCAATGTATTTTGAGGTTGTATAAGCAAATATGAAAATGTAAAAAAATAGAGTTCATATATTGACATTTCTGTAAATATGATTCCTATATCTGAAAATGTGTTTCAGGTTTGTGCATAGATTATTCAGAGAATAAACTCTACTGGATCAGTTCAGGCAATGGAACTATAAACCGATGCAACTTGGATGGTGACAATTTTGAAGTAATAGATTCAATGAAAGAAGAGCTAACCAAAGCTACAGCCTTAACTATAATGGGTAAGTGAACATATAAGTTAACATGGTTCACATCCAATATTTAATCCTCTTGATGCACTTTAATTATCAAAAACTTATCAGACTTTTCCATTAAAGTATGTTGTACCATATTTTTTTAATATGAATTTTGAAGCCAGCGTTTATTTTTGGATATTTTATGTTTAAAAATACTTTTATTTGTTTATTCATAAGGTTCCACAATGTTCTACTCAATCAGGTAGGACAAGAAAGTTTGAAGATTGTATGATTTGGGGATTATTGCATAATTCAGTTAGGGATGCTCTTTTTCTACTGTACAATGGAAATATGTATATCAACACATATGCACACATACAGTACTTCTACAGTATCTATTGCTGTCTTTATCATTGCTTTAGCTTTTATCTTGTAAATAAGATCGCTGATATTCATTTTTATATAATTAACAGATCTAGAGCTAGAGCTCATCTATTATTCATAGTTAAATATTAATAGTATAATTGCTTGATATTTTATGTAAAAAAATGATATGAAAAACCAAAAGGAACAGGTAAAAAAGAAAGTATAATTAAAATAGAAGAATATAATTGTATAGCATAATTCTTAAAATGATTTCAAAGTAGTATCTCTGTAGTAATTATGGTTGATGGTACTGGAAGGAGAGGCGATATTCTTGCTGAAGATGGAAAAAGACTATGAAATCCTTTAGCAATGATTAAATAGTAGATTATCTTATATCTAACTATATGCATTTACTTTTGTCATTAGAAATAATTTTAAAAGAATATCTTTTAAAATGAATACCTTTAATGCAGGTAGTCCTTGATTTAGGACAACAATTGAGACCAGAATTTCTGTTATTAAGCAAGACAGTTAAGTGAGTCACAGCCAATTTTCTTTTATTTTTTTGTCATGGTTGTTAAGTGAATCACTGCAGTTGTTAAGTGAATCATGTGATCATTAATTGATTCAACTTCCTCCATTGAACTTGCTTCTCAGAAGCTGGCTAGGAAGCTCATAAACGATGATCCTATAACCCTGGGTTGCTGCATGCTGACATGCTGGCTGTCAAGTGCTCAAATGTTGATCACATGACCATTGAAATGTGATAGTCCTAGACACAAGGACCAGTTGTAAGTCAGCCTTTTTTCAGTGCCATTGTAACTTCAAACAGTTGGTAAATGAATGGTTGTAAGTCAAGGACTACCTCTACCAATTTTGCTTGTTATTATATGCTGCTTTCATATTTATTGGATTAATGTGAAATAAAATCCACTGTTATGGTCAAGTAACTGGCTAAAAATAGAAAGTAGAGAATATCGTTACTTAAATAAATCCTGAGGACACAAGAAATTAGTTGCTCAAGTTTATGTAGTGATTCTAATACATTTATAAGAGATCTTGATTCAGGATAATCAATGAACTGGCCAGGTTTTACAGCTGATACAAATTATTTAGAATGATGTAAACCAAACCAGCCACTAGACTCTACCGGCATTCTTTTTAGCCAAACGTATTAACCATATATAGTATATATAAACCAACAAATTCCATGAACTGGAATTGACTCTAGCTAAACAAGAGAGATATTTTGAATTCATAGGAAATACCTCACTGAAAAATGCCCAATATACAGTAGTTTTGGGAAAAAGCAGATTAAGTGATAAAGATTGTTAGGAAATGGATCAAAATAAAGTATTATAATATAATAATTTTTAAAATCTTAAAATGGATACTTCAAAACATGAAACAATGCATAACATCTTGCCCAAATTCATTATGGTATTGAAATGGTTTTCCTGGGAAGAAAAGTACAATATTCAAGACTTTCTGATTTACAAGTAAAAGATGCAATACATAGCATTATATTTGATATGGAAAAATAGATTTAATGATAGTTAAGAAAGGTGGAATTTCAAGATCTATTATTTCCTAAGGTTTATACAGTATGAATGTAAGTGAGGTTTACAGAGAAGCTGGTTAGGTTTGCTGATAACACCGAATTATTTCAGGGGAGGCTGATAAATAAAAGTGAAGTATATTCATAGCCTTGAATTATTTATAAAAATAATAAAAAAATCTAATAAATAAAGAATAAACAAATCAAAAACATTTTATCTCAAGCAAATGAATATAACCATTAGAAGTAGTTCAGTGTAAGTGTAATTGATGCAGATTGCAGGGAAAATTCTAACTTTATAGCATGCTGAATTGACTTGGTAATGATGATCATTGAAAAGTATCTGGTGGTCATAGTGGATAGCTTGAATTAAAGTGTTAGCCACTGTGAAGCTACTTTAGGTGCTGGTGATCTTTAGGATATCTGATACATTTATAACAGTATCTGATACATTTATAACAAATATTTGATATGAGCATACTGGAATACAATCATTGCTTACCAAAAATAATACTGAAGAACTGCAAAATATATAGAAAAGATAAATTCATGATGGACCTAGAACAATTCCTTTATGGGTAGAAAATATGTGATTTAAAAAAATAATAAGAAACAGATGTTTAATTAGATATTTAAATGTGCTGCACCTAATGTAGAACAAATAGGTTGCATTTTTATACAAATATATGGATTTGGGAGCTCTTTATATGCAATCTTTAGGTTCAGAGGCTCCATAATACTAAAAACCAACTGACAGGAAGCAACAGTGATACTCTCTTTGGTGTCCTTGTGACATCTGGTTGGTTGGGTGTGAATTAAGATGCTAGAAAAGGACTTTTGGTCTGACACAGTATTAACCTTACAGTGTATTCTTTGCTTATGTCAATATAAGCCATAGTTCATTTAAGTACAGTCTCATGATTTGTATTAATCTTCATTCTATGTAATCATATACTTATACAGTCTTTATTGTTAACATAAATCCAAACAACTATAGTGTTTTATTTTATCTCTTACTTTATCTCACGCCAACTTGATCAGTAATTAAGGATTGTAATTAAATATGGTCACAAACCTGGGAATAATTGAATCAATTATAACTCTCAAATCTTCCAAGGATTGTGGGAGAGTGGAAACAGCAGTCCTGCATGTAGCATTGGTATACCATTGCATGTCATGGGAGATTATGCTATTGTTGATTCATTTTTCCATTTTTGCCCTGATGTTTATGCATAGTAAGGTACTAGGAAGAGTGTAGCCTGTCCTCTAATGCAGAGGTCCCCAACCATTTGGGCACCAGAGACCGGTTCCGTGGAGAGAGTTTTTCCATTGAGTGGAGGGTGCATGTTTTTTTTGTGCTACTTGCATCTTGTGGATGGGGCTTTGCTTGTTTGTGCGCCCCAATTGCTGGAATGCTGCAGCTGGTACTGATCCACAGATTGGGGGTTGGGGACACCTGCTCTAATACTTCTCTGAATTTGCTATTATCCCCTTCACAATGTTGGACCAAGATAATAGACAATAAATCCAATAAATTTATATTTAAAAAACATCACTGGAACAATATTAGGATCTCTGGTTGAAGATCTATCTGCCTTACCTTTTATGATCTCAGAGTTGCTATTGAAATAATGTTATGTGATACACATTGGTTGCTATTCTCTCTTGCAAAATTTTCTTTAAGTGGCATTTACTATAGGTCCTTGTTATCTGTTTCTCCTCTGGACAACAACAGTTATATTTTGAAAGACGTATTATTGTAATACATTGTGTTACTATATTTTTGTGAGATTATATGGTATGTTACACGTGGACTAGTCTTATAGACAGTCCAGAAAATTTAATAACAAAGCAAAACTCTTACTAAAGCATTAACTGTCACTTGGTATTAAGGTCTTATTCCACCAACTTTATGAAGTCTTTGCTAATTGTCAGTTTCCAGACCCAATTTAAAGTGCTGGTATTACATTATAAATGAGTAGTTTGAAATAGTAGTTAAAGGGACCAGGCTAGAAATTGGCAGACCATGAGTTCTAATCCCACCTTTTACATGAAACTGTCTGGGTGACTTTGGGCCAATCTCTTTTTGAGCCATAAGAAGAAGGAAATGGAAAAGCATTTCTGAAAAACTTGCCAAGAAAACTGTAGGGGTTATTTCAGGCAGTCAGCCATTATCTCAACACTAACTTGAATGTAAAAACAAATCAAAAATAAACAAAAAAACAAAATATTACCATATAAGGCATTTAATGGCTTGGATTACTGTTCCAGAACATATTATTCTGTATCTTCTATTTTAGAATAGAATAGAATAGAATAGAATAGAATAGAATAGAATAGAATAGAATCTGGAAGGGACCTTGGAGGTCTTCTAGACCAGCCCCCTGCTCAAGTAGGAGAACCTATACCATCTCTGACAGGTGATTGTCTAGTCTCTTCTTAAAAATCTCCAGTGATGGAGCACCCCTGATTTCTGGAGGCAAGCTGTTCCACTGGTTGATTGTCCTCACTGTCAGGAAGTTTCTCATTAATTCCAGGTTGCTTCTGTCTTTGATCAATTTCCAACCATTATTTCTCATCCTTCCCTCTGGTGCTTTGGGGAACAATGTGACCCTCTCTTCCTTTTGGCAGTCCCTGAGATACTAGAATACTGCTATCGTGTCTCCCTTATTTCTTTTTTTCTTTAGACTAGCCAAACCCATGTTCCACAGCCGTTCTTCATATGTTTTAGTCTCCTTTGATCATCTTAGTTGTTCTTCTCTGAATTTTTTCCCAAACTCTCAACATGACCAAAATTGGCTGCAGTACTCCAGGTGTGATCTTACTAGGGTTTTATAAAGTGGTACTAATACTTTGCGTGATCTTGATTCTATGCGTCTGTTTATACAATCCAGGATTGTATTAGCTTTTTTGGTTGCTGCTGCATACTGCTGGCTCATAGTCAAGTGATCATCCACTAGGACTCCAAGGTCCCTCTCACAGTTACTGTTTTTGAGCCAGGTCTCACCCAATCTGTACTTATACCTTTGATTTTTCCTGCCTAAATTTAAAACTTTGCCTTTCTCCACACTGAAACTCATTTTGTTGGATAGAGCCCATTGTTCAAGTTTGTCTACAACTT